AGAGAGAATGTGCTGCCGGCAATGGCTCCTATAGCTGAGGAGGGGATCCGGAGGCCAGCGAGGAACCAGGAGGGGGATGCAGTGGATGTGTTACAGCGGACTGTGGGGGATGATGGATTTTTGTCGAGGCATACAAATATGAAGTTCGAGCTTAGAGATACTCCTGGTCTTGGTGAGCTCTATATATTATTTGTAGTTATTAGTTTACATATCAAAAGAGGTGATTATTAATGTTTTCTGTGATTATGAATTCTAATCTAATGCGCTCTAATGAATCATGAAATGTTAATTTGCAGCGGACAATTTTTTACACTGAAAAGTTCTCATTTTTAGTATTTGGTTTGTGCAGTTTTGTTGATCTTTAAAAGCTTATAGTTTCTTGTGCGCGAAATTGCTTGATTTGTTTAGTTCTTAATGGCAAAATCAGTGGAAATCAAAGTGCCTTTTTGATTAATAATTTTCTGTAATTTTGTTGAAATTGACTAAAGCTACTTGTGTTTGTGTGGGATGTTCAAGGTGATATTTGATGCTTATTCAATATTGTGGATTATATATTCGTAGAGAAAAGACTTTTATCTGAATTAAAATTTGAAGGATAATGAAATCATATCTGTAATCTTTTGGTTTTTTATGTTTCAGTTCCTGTCGGTCTGTACGGATTTCAACATTACCTGTCAATGTTGGGTTCATTGATACTAATTCCACTGATAATAGTTCCTGCAATGGGTGGCACTTATGTAAGTTAATTGCATAAAGCTTTCACTTCTTATGTTGATTTTGTAACTTGGATGAATTGACTAATGGAAGTCAGTGGACGTAGGAGGAGACAGCAAATGTCATTTCAACTACGCTATTTATGTCCGGAGTGACTACACTTTTGCATACATCATTTGGATCGAGATTGCCCTTGATACAGGGCCCTTCTTTTGTTTATCTTGCTCCAGCACTTGCAATAATTAACTCACCCGAATTTTTGCAACTGAATGGAAATGTAAGTATCTCCAGTCTTCAGTGATTTGTTAGGTTGAACATTGTTTTCTGGTTACATGTGGAAAAGAATC